GAAAAAGACAATAATGGGGTTTTGAAGTTTTTGTTTTTTTGTTTTTTATTTTATTTTATTTTATCTTCTTGGGTAATTATTATTATTATTTTGATATATAAAATTGAAAAGTCCCCAAAATTAAAGTATGTGGTAACCATATTATTTGGAAGTTGTGGGGTGCCTAACACCTTCCCCATACTTAACCGACCGTCCGAACCTAGTCAATTTCTGCGTAGACCTTGGTGATCTATCCCATCTCATTTGGATAGATGGGGACTTCATCCATTTTGGCACGTCAACAGGGGGTTTTATTAAGAATAGGCCTCACCATAATTCTATTCAACAAATAACAAGAGGTTGCAATGACTTCAACCCAAAAGGATTTTGGCAAATAATTCTCACAAATCATAGTCCTTGCCATTTCCTCAATAGTACTATTTTTCCATTCAACCACCCCATTTTGTTGAGGAGTTCTAGGAGCCAAAAAGTTATGATCAATACCATGTTCAATGCAAAAATCTTCAAAGTCATTATTTTCAAATTCTCCCCCATGATCACTTCTAATAAAAACAATAGGTAAACCTTTCTCATTTTGAAGCCTTTTATAAAGGCATTTGAAAGCATCAAGTGCATCTTTCTTATGTGCAAGAAAAGCAACCCACGTAAATCTGAAATAGTTATCAACTACAACAAGCACATATGATTTCCCTCCAATGCTTAGAATGTGCATAGGTCCAAACAAATCCATATGAAGTAACTCAAGAGGTTTATTTGTAGAGATGCACTTCTTAGCCTTAAAGGAAACTCTAGTTTGCTTACCATTCATGCATGCATCACATACACTATCAATATTCACATTCACCTTAGGCAAGCCATCAACAAGATCATGCTTTAATAACTTAGAGATAACACTCATGCTAGCATGTCCTAATCTTCTATGCCGCAACCAAGCATCATCATGAGATATAGAAGCAAGACAAATATTGGCATCAAATGTCATGCAAATCAATCACATATACATTTTTAAGTCTCTTGCCAACAAACAACACTTGATGATTTCTAGAATCAATAATCTTGCAATGAGATTTAAAAAACACAACATTAAGCAAACGATCACACAATTGAATAATACTAAGCAAGTTATGTTTTAATCCATCCACACACCAAATATCATCAAAAGAAATAGATTTGTTACCAATTTTACCAATTCCTTTCACAAGTCCTTTCCCATTGTCACTAAAGGTCACGGTTCCACCATCCAAGGGCATGAGTGATGAGAATTGTGGAGGATCACCCGTCATGTGCCTTGAGCATCCACTATCTAAATACCATTTGTTCTTTATTTTGCTTACAAGGCACACCTACACAACAAAAATCAATTTTTGATCTTAGGTACCCAAATTTGATTAAGTCCTTGGGGGTTAGTTCTTATGGTTCCTTTTGGAACCCAAATTTATTTCACTTTACCTTGAGCTATTAATCTTTTTAAAGAGCAAGCATAAGCAAAGTGTCCTTTTGCACCACAACAATAGCAAGTGACTTTAGGATGAGAGGATTGACTTGCTCTTACAAAGGAATTCTTAAAAGTTTTTTGCTTTTTAGAATAATAAAATCCAATACCCCTTTGTCATAAATACTTCTTTAAGATTTTAAAATAAAATCAAAATTTTCTTTACTCAAAGTAAATTTGGAAATCACATTCTTAAGATCACAAGCTTTTTTCTTTAAATCCTTATTTTCCTTTTTCAAAGCATTATTAGATTCCTCATTCTTTAAAGAAGCAATCTCACCATTTAAAGAGGCATTTTCTTTAACTAAAACCTCATTTTGTTTTGAAAGAAATTCAATCTCATTTTTAAGCAATGAAATAGTTTTAGTAAGAGCAAGATTCTCATTCCTTAGTTTCTTAATATCATTAATAGAGCAATCAAGAACTTTGCATAAATCATTATAAGAATACTCAAGGAAACTTTCATTAATTGAACTAGAAAAGTTAGAGTTGACCTCCTCATCATTGTTGCTATCCTCTTGAGCCATGAAGCAAAGACTTGCAACACCTTTCTCCAAGGAGCTTTCACTTTCTGTTGAGCTAGTCTCATCGTCACTCCAAGTGGTGGTAAAGGCTTTCTTCTTCATGCTCTTCTTGCCTTTCTTTTCACCCTTCTTCAATTTAGGACATTCATTTCTATAGTGCCCCATCTTGTTGCATTCATAGCACTTCACACTCTTTTTGGTAGACTCTCCTTCATCTCTTTTTGCAAGCTTACTCTTGATGTTCTTCTTCATGAATCTCCTTACTTCTCTAGAGATCAAGGCGGAGATGTTTTCACCATCACTAGCATCATCGTCACTCTTGTCCTTTTGGTTGCTAGCCTTGAATGCAACATCCTTCTTCTTCTTCTCAACTACTACAACTCCACCATCAACTTGGACTTCTATCTCGTATGTCATCAATTTTCCAATGCGATCTTTAAGCTTGAGAGTGTTGAGATCTTTTGACTCTTCAATTGCGGTCTTCTTAGCTTCCCAATTCTTGGGCAAGCTTTTAAGAACCTTCCTCACCACTTCTTGAGGAGGATAGACTTTACCAAGAGCTTTGAGATTGGTGACTATATCATTCAAACTTGTATACATATTGAATGCTCTCCTCTGGTTTCATCTTGAAAAGCTCATACATGTAAATGAGTTTATTGATTTTTGACTCCTTCACTTGGCTTGTTCCTTCATGCATGACCTCTAACATGCCCCACATCTCCTTAGCTGTGTCACACCCAGAGACTTTATTGTATTCCGTTGGATTGAGAGCACATTAAAGCATACTAATTGCTTTGTTGTTGATCATGATCTTTTCCAAGTCTTCATCATTCCATTCAACTTCTGCCTTTGGCACCTCTCTTTCTCCAACAACTTTTATAGGTACATATGGACCTTTCATAGTCACAATCCATGCCTTAGGTACATTTGCAAGCATGAAGACCTTCATCCTATTCTTCCAATAATTATAATTAGTACTATCAAAAAAAGGAGGCTAGTGGTAGATAAACCTTCAAGTAGTTGAGAAACTTGAAATTGAGCCATCCCCGATCAACTCCTAGGTGGTTAAACCTTCAAATTGGAGCCCTTGCTCTGATACCAATTGTTAGCTCAATGCACTCCAAGAAGGGGGTGAATTGGAGTTGGAAGATTTTCACCTCTTTGCAACCACCAAACAAAAATCAAAAGGAGAGTAAAGAAGAAGAGCTTGCACAATGATTTTATAGAGATTCGATCCAACCAGTTGGAGCCTAATCCTCTACCTTGGCTTCATTCACTAAGGATTTCTTCCACACTTTCCACTAAGAAAAATAATGGTGGCTTAAAGGAGCCACTCAATCCTTTTACAAGAAGAAGGGTGTTTCACTCAAATCTCAAATCTCACCCCTTTACAAGTTAAAACCTAAGAATCCTCTTTACAAATCACTCTTGAAAGATTAATCACACCCTCAAGATCACTCACAAATAGAACAAGAAGAGGATTACAAGAAAAGATCATTAAAAGATCAAGATCTCAAGTTAAAGCACAAGTTTGTAGGTAGATATATTCAATATAATGCTTTTCAAACTTATTCCAAATCTGCTACCAACCATATTTATAGCCCCTTGCTCAAAAATAGTTGTTTATAGCCGCTGGGGGTCATTAAATGCTTTGCAGGACGTGTAATTTCGAACTGCAGAATTGTCAGCACAGCCGGCTCCATAGCCAGCTTAAACAAACCTAGAGCTGGCTCCACAACCAGCTTAATCTTCTATAGCTGGCTTTGTGGGTTTCCTGCACATTCTATTTTCTTGAACAGCTGACTACAAAATTTAAAGCCGACTTTGGGATTTTGACTTTAAAAACATTAAATAATCTTCAAACAACTCGATCATTGTGCATTAAATACGCCCTCACAGCCGGCTGCAAAGTTAAAGCCAGCTTTGCATCCATTTTTCGTACACGCCAAAGTTCAGACTTGAAGTTTTTGCCCATAGAGCCGACTGCAACTTTCTAGAGCCGACTACATATATCCTTAAGCTTGCTCTCTGCACATTTTCAGCCTTTTTGGTCCTTTTTAGTGCAATCCAAGTTTACTTACTTTGCAATCGTTTAGCAATTTAACTACATACTTAAATGAACCAATTAGTCACTTAAATGTGTTTTGTAATCATCAAAATCATAGGTACAACATATGCTTCCAAAACCAATTTGTTGAGCGTTATTACATGTGATGGCAAATTCCCCTAAATTAACTAACTAGCTTTCTCAAGTCAAGTTAACCATTCACTTATTTGTTAAATTAGTCATATCTCTATGTAATTTAAAACAAACTAGTGAGTATTAAATTCTATGGAAACCTCTAGTTTAGGAAGGGGAGCTCATAACTCTCTTCTCTTCCTCCACTATCACATGTGATACTAATTACCTCTCAGTCTCATAATCTAACACATGGTTTATATTATTATTGGTCTAATTTACGCAATTCTTCCTCAAGTTCATGCATAAATCACTAAATCAATTGAAAAGTAATAAAGCTTTCAATGCATTAAGTTCAATAATATAAACTCATCATGCAAATAACTTTAATTGAAACATAAAATCATAAAATCTACAATAAATTGATTAGGCTACATCATAACTTTAATAAAATAAATTAGTTCATAATAAAAATAATAAAACTTGAAATTATGGTTATGAACATTCGAATATCAAACAATAGATAAAAAGAATCTAAGGAAAAACAAATATTTGAGTCCTTTTCATCTAATTCTCTCCATTTAGTTATCAAACCTTCAATCACCAAAAATTTGCACAACATGAATAAAATGAACAATTATGAAATTACTTGTATAAAAAAACAACTCTTAAGCTCATAATTCCACAAAGGTCAATGGTTAAGAACACTTTAAATATACATTTTCATGTTTTCATCACAACCCCCAACCAACTTATTACTAGTCTCTAGCAATTCAAGCTTGAATTAAGAAAGAAAGCATGAGATTAGCTCAAATGGATATCTAGCAAGACTACTTAGGTATTTAGAAAAAGATCACAGTCGTTATCAAGATTACTTCAATTATAACTTCCAAAAGTGTGTGTGTGAACTAAGCATAACCTTCATACCACAAACAACAACATATATAGCCTTGAGAATTAATCAAAGTAAAAGCCTCAACTCCATATCCTCATAGGTTAATAACTGTTTAAGGCAAAGGATTTCTCTCATGGAGTTGGAAAGCAGCAACTCACTCAAAGGAAAAAGGCAAAATTTAATAGACAATCAAACAAACAAACATTGATTAGAAGATAGGCTAGTTAGATATTCAAAATTCCACTACTCTTGCTATAAACTAACTTAAGGATTTCAGTCAATCAAATATGAGACCAATAAAAGTATAGCCTAGTGAGAATAATTGTTCCCTCAAAAGAAAGTTTTTCTTCTAAATTAATGGAAAACTTTATTTGGTAAATTTTTTTTCTTTTTTCTTTCTTTTTTCTGTTTTTTCTTTTTCTTTTTGCGTTTTTTTAATTCTTTTTTTTTTGTTTTTTCTTTTTTTTCTTTTTTTTTATATTTTTCTCTTTTTTTTTTTTTTTTTTTTTTTGGATTTTTTGAAACAAAGTACAAAAAGTACAAAATTTCTCACATAACTAATTTCACATGAACTATTCTAAAGGCTTCACACTTCATAACAATAGCTCTCTTGCTCCTTTCTTTTTTTTTTTTTTTAGCTAATCATTCAACCATTCTTCCAAATGAGTAGTGACCTTCTAAATAGCAACTAACCAATTCAACTAAGCAATGAAAGTTCATAAGTTGTTTTCAGCTAATCATTCAACCATTCCTCCAAATGAGTAGTGACCTTCTAAATAGCAACTAACCAATTGAACTAAGCAATGAAAGTTCATAAGTTGTTTTCTCAACTCTCCACTCACTCACAAAAGATGTGTGTGAGTATAAAAAAACAGTGCACTTAAACCTGATAATTCTCTTGACTATACATATTTAACATCCATCTAACCACAAAGCTTAGTATTGTGTGCAAAAAGTTTTTAGAAGTTACTCTTTAATAATCAAGATAGAAAAAGTGACTTTTACCAAGTAATTTTGAAATCATACCTAGGTAGAAAAGTAGAAATATCATGCTTTGCAGACCCTTTCACACAAGAATTACCAAAGTAAAAGGAATAAGCAAAGTGTTGGCCTTTCTTCCTTTTTTTTTTCTTTGTCCTTTTTTTCTTTTCTTTTCCTTTTTTTTTATGAAGATAATGTATATAAAAAGTGTGCCTAAAATGTGCAT